CTCCAGTCCGCGCCCTTGGCGGGTCCCCTGGGCCGGGCGGCATCCGGCCGGCGGCGCGGTGCGCGGTCCCGTCTAGACGGCGGCGGCTTATCTGCGCCTGGCATCACCTGCAAGCGATCCGCCACCGGCCCCGGCCCGGCGTCCGCCCTGTTCTCTCTGAAGCCCCGGGGCGGCTCTGCCGGGGGTGCGGGGGTCCCGCTTGCCCCCAAGGGCGGGAGCGGAGAAAGAGGCACCGGGTGCAGGCCTGGTCCCTCAGGCCAAGGGGCACCCCCTCCTGCTGCCCACCCTGCTCAGGAGCAGGGCTAGGGCCTTGACAGACGTCCTGCTCCCTCCTCGCGGATCCACCCTCCCTCTGGGCCAGCCCAGCTTGGCAGCACCGCTGAGGGGAGGCATCTCTTTCCTCTAGGCCCCTTCCATGCTTGGCCTGGCGGCCAGGGACCCTGTGCCAAGCACAAAGCTTAAATCCTGGCAGCTAGATGATGAGTGAGGAGGGCTGCCAAGGCTCTGCCTTTTGGGGGGGAGGAAAGGCTCCGGCACTGAAGGCAAATAAAGCAACAGGAGAGGCCCAGAGGCTGGGGCAGCTCCTGCCTGTCCCCTCTGCTCAGCCCTGAGAGATGCCTGGGGGACAATTTCCCAAGTGTAGGACCAGGCCCAGGACACTGCTAGGCGTGAGCTCCTGTGGCTTTACATAGGGTGTCTCTTCATTTCTCTTTTGCCATGAATTCTAGCTCCCAACTCCCCATTGTCTCCCCTGCTAAAGGGGAAAATAAAGGTTTGAAATTTTATGTCAAAAAGGACAAATGTCTCCACCATTTGGGTTAATCAGAGTTGTGGCACGTATATTAGATGCCAGTAACAACATGATTTATGCATGGCTTGAAAATAAAGGCAGTGAATGATGTGCAGGGAGCACAGCAAGGTCTGGGAGAAATGGGCGAGATTTCCTATGCAAGGCCAGCAGACTGCAAATGATACCCCCGAGGGGAGCCTGCCCCTGGTGATGAGCAGGTGAATGCTAAGAGAAGAGCCGCAACCAGGCCTGGGCTGCTCTAAGGCAGAGCCACACTGACAGAAACCCCTCCTAACCCTCATCTCACTGCCTCCAAAACATCCAGACACTCAGGCAGGATTTAAAGATTAAAGACTTTTTGGTCTTGTAAAAAGCAAAGCAGTGACAGCTAGAAAAGCAAGAGCGAGAAAGTGCCCTTGAAACCCCAGCTGGTTTTCACCAGCCAGCCTATGTGGAGGATTGGTATTGCCAGGTTTCTGGCTTTAATTTTTAAAATTATTATGAGGGAGCACCAAGGTCATGGTCCAAAATTCTGTGGTGGCTCCCCCTTGAGCAAAGCACCTGAGATTAATGGGACACATGGCTTCCAAGAGACATCACTCACCTGAGGGTTTGGCTTAGACTAAGCAGCTCGTCATTCCTTTATATATATTTTACCATTTTGTTATCTGCCTGTAATTTGTGATCCCTCTCCTCTGCCCTTTGGATTCTCTGTTCACCTCATCCACAGATGTGCTGCCCCGAGTCCTGGGCATCAGTGGAACTGCTTTCCAGACCCTGAGCAGAAACTGTGATCTGAAAAAAGAGATGGTCCAAGCCAGTGGGACTCAACCTTTTGGCCCCATGGGCCAAATGAGTGGTGTGGGGCCAGTCTGTGATTTGGATTGGACCCTGTGCTCAAGGAATGGGCCTGCATACCTGGATCCAGGCCATGCTGCCTCCGCCCAGCTCCATGTGTTGGGATCAGGGCCCCATAACACTGTGCTGCCCCTGCCCAGTCCTGTGTGCTGGGATTAGGGCCCCCAGAACATGCACTACTTCCATCCTCTCCTGCATGCCAGGATTGGGCCCCAGGACCCCAAGCCACCTATGTCTTCTCCTACATGTGGACATTGGGCTCTGGGCCCTGCATCACCTGTACCCCATTCAGTGCATTAGGATTGGGGCCCTGGGACCCCACACTGCCTCTGCTTAGGCCGGCATACTGGGATCAGGGCTCTGGAACCCCATACCACTTCCACCGGACTGTGTGCACTGGGATCAGGGCTTGGGGGCCCTATACAACCTCTCCCTGGCCCCATGTGACAGGATTGGGCCTCACACTGCCCTGCACAGTGGATCTAGTGCGCAGGTTTACAGCAGAGCCCCACAGGATGGATGACAAAGTGCGGGGAGCCTGATCTGGCCCATGGGGGTTGAGCACCTTTGGTCTAAGCCCATCCAGATTCACACAAGGCCTTGTTTTCTTTAGCCTGCCTTGGCAATAGGCTGTTTTCTACTGAGTAAAGTATTTAAGCGGTGACTATCCCCCACCTTCCAGTCTCAGAAAAAAAAAGTTTGAATGAATCCTTGGTGATCAAAGGTGCTCCAATGATCCTTCTGGGACCTGTCTCCAAAGACTCTAAATCTTGTTTGCTTAATGGTTCTTGTAGCCCAAATGCTTCATATTTCCAAGAACCACAGACTTTTCCAGTCGGTGAGATGGATATGTTAAATAGGTTTAGAGATCTTAACAAGGAACCAAAAGGCTACCTACCTATCTTTAATCCTTTCCCCTCAGCTCATTTGGTTACTCATAACAAACACTGGCAGCAAAGAGTCAGGGCATAAAATGCCCTCTTGTTCCTTCCTTCTCCACATCAACAGAAAATTTCATATTTGCCATCTTGCATTTTGCTTTTTCTAGGAATTTTCAATCCCCAATTCCCTCTAGGTTATGAAAGTAGGTAACCTTGAAATACAGTAGGATTGTGAGCTTGAGTGTCCTTCCAGCTCCAAATGACATTTACATCCAGTAGCTGACTGCCACTGCCAGCACTTAGTGATCAGCAGGAGATTGCTTCACAATCACAGCCACAGCTCTGAAACACTGGAAAATAGAGCACTCAATCCTGTGCATATCCTGCATGTGAGAGCTTGCTGTGGACTTGAGAGAAAGCAAAGACAGGAAATGTGAAGTAAAAATAACAGAGTTCAAGCGTGGAGCTCAGTTGTGAGAGCAGGGATGACTGGATTCATCCCTCCTGACCTGTTAAATTAGGGGTAAGATTGTTGTTGCTATGTATTACTTTTATTATTCTAGGAGGTCACTGTGGTAGGTGCTGTAAAAACACAAACAAGACTGTCCATGCCCCAAAGAGTTTATAATCTTGTAATATACCTGCATGACAGGGTTGTTTGAGGCTTACTTAATGCATGCTCTTGGGGTGCGTGCATCCTTGGACAAAAGGCTGCAAGGGAAGTACACAGTAATGTTGTTACATAATGTTAATGTTGAACTGAATATTCATTACGTAGCAATGTGAATGTGCCTGTGACTCCAATCATACCGACAGTGTTCTGTACTCTTCTGTCTGGTACCAGTTTGATTTTCCAGGTTCTATGTTGTTTCCTTCTAATCCTCCACTGGCCCTGTTCTTCCACGGTGTCATAGGCTAAGTTTGTGCCATCAGAACATCTGCTGTTGCCATACATCATATTGTTACAAATAATGACTTGCAGCATCAATAGTTCTAGAAGCCAGCTGGCTTATAAGCGCAAAAACCTCTATTTATGCTGAAAGGTCTTGATTTTACAGAAAAGTAAGGGAAGAAAGGAAGGAGAGTGAAGAGCTTGCTAAAATCCATAACTCAAGAGTGTGCTGGGGAACACTCTACGGCCTTGATTCTTCAAGACATTTCATGCAGGGCACTCCCAGGCCTGCACTAATCTGCCCTCTAAAGTGTAGAGAGACATTTTATAGGTCTTATGCATTATTTCAAAGACAATGCAAGTTAATGCTATCACATTATTTACACATTATTATTTGCTTATAATAGGGCTCTCCAAATTCCCAGTGGCTGGGGGCTGTATGCCCCACAGGCTGCACCACAGCAAGCCACAGGTCGCTGGGACATGTGCCATTCAAATGTCTCCACTGTTGCACTGCATGCCTGTGCAGGCCCAGAGACGCCCTCTGCTTCCCGCCACGTCACCCCACCCCCTGGGTGAGGGCAGAAAGCAGCAGCCAGAGAAGGTAGGGGGAGCTTGGAGCCCTTGCAACTGGAGCAACTGGGTTGGGGAAGGGGCGGGGGACAGGACACCGAGAAGGGCAGGGGCCAAGGGCTGAAACTTAATTCCTTGTAGATCACATGTGGGCCTTGATTTATAGTGTCATTTATGCTCTGCTTTTTATATATCCATAGATGTTAGGGTCAGAAGGAACCTCGGTAGGTCATTGAGTCCGACCCCCTGCCCTGGGCAGGAAAGAGCGCTGGGGTCAGATGACCCCAGCTAGGTGCTTTAATTTAGTTATGTGAACAATATCCGTAAATTGCTTGAGACATTTTTCTCTCA